TCATAGTCCCATAAAGCACACACATGCAATAGAAGCAATTTCTAAGTCTCAGTCTATCAAAAACTCATGATTGAAAGTGCTCACATCATGATCAAATACTTTTTAAAAGACCATGCTTTCCTGATGGAACATGCTCCTCTGGTAGACATATGGCATCGGTCTCCCCACAAAGAAGAGCCCTATCTGGACCTGTGGAAATAGGGTTTAGGCTCTGGAGACAAGGATCTTATGAGTAGTCATCCCGTATTTAATAGTTTCTAGGAGGAGTTCCATTCCCCCTACATTATTTCCATTACAACTTCTCAGCTTTCCTTATTTCCTAACAAGCAAATTAGAAATTTGTAGATGCCTGATGAAAGTTAGATCCTTTGCTCCCTGATCTATGTAACATGAGAATAATCTGAGATCAATGCTTTGAAAAAATTAGAGCCAGAAGACTAAAACTGGCAGGAACAGAAGATAAAGATATCTACACCCAGCTTGTTGTATTAGGGGAGGCATAATAAAGTTATCACAGAGGGAGGTCCAGGGCCTAGAGGGTTTCCGAATTACATTACAGTCCCCATCTGGTCTATGAATTCACCAAGGTCAGAAACTATTTTTTCCATCATTGTATTCTCATTACTTTGTGCAGAGTGTCTTAAAGGTAACAGAGTACATGCTCCAAAAATGTTTATCGATTGACTCCAAGAACCTTAGGGATAAAGGCTGGGGCAGCATGGGGCAGAGAAGAAGGGAGGAGAACCATCCAGCAGGACTATAATCCTTCCTGCTTTGCCCTCCCTTCTGTGATGCCATTATCACCCAAGGTCACACTTTGTTTTCCTTTTCTTGTCAACATTCAGGTGTTCCTTCATTGTATACTCTGATTCCACTAGGAATGTGTTCTCCTATCTGCAAAGAAGTGGATGACTACTCAGCTCTGGTAAAGGCCAGAGGAGTGACATCTGAGAGGATGAAATAGTTGCCTCTTAGCCCAGCATTCCACAGTCCTGGGCAACACCAGTGGGTAGGAAACAGTGTGCCCAGACAGCCATATATTTTTTCATATGAACAAGATTTTCCAATCAGTTCTCAAGAAATATTAAGTATCTATGTAGAATGTGAGATAATTCCTAGTGCAAAAACAAGGAAGTTTTATAGTTTTAAACCCTTCTCAAAGAAATTTCTTAGTATGAGTTATCACTTATGCCAGGTGATCAATGGCATAGATTTTGTACAATGCAGAGGATTAGTATCCTTTAAGCAAGAAGGGACCAACTTAGTAGTAAGCAACTTGGATATCTATTACACATTCGCTGATGTTTTTAAAGAAGTAAATTTACTTGCTTATTTACAATATCAAGGTAGAAACAAAATTTACTTTAAATATAAAAAACTATCATATTCATTGGATTCCTATTATGAGCAGTGTATTTTATATATGTCCTCCCATGCAATCTATACAACAGAAGTTGAAACTTGATATGATCACTTGCATTTAGCACATGAATATATTAAGGCTCAAACTGGTTAAGCAACTTGCCTAAAGGTACACGTCTGTATCATGACAACTCCAGGATTCAGATCTCAGAATTTCTACCCCTGGAAACAAAGTTCTTCCCCTATGACAGATATCTGTTCAGACCCTCTGTTGCAACTAATAAAGAAATCTGACTGCAAATGGTTTAAGCAATGAAGGGGTTGATTGACTCACAAAAGTTGAAAGTTCTGAGATAGCGTGGGTATTTGATTTGTTTCCGTAGCTCAATTTCATCAGAGGTATGAATTCTTTGACCCCAATTTCCTTGGTGTTACAAGCTTCCCATTTGGATTCAAAATGATCTCAGCAGTTCTAACTTTTTCATGGCACATCAGAGTCATAAAGATAGAGGGGATGGGCTTCAACCCCAAATGTCCTCAGTTTTCTGTGTTCGCTAGGGAATGCTATGAGCTGTTTCACTTAAGCCAAAGGCAAGGCAATTGGCTTTGCCTGACTGAGTTGCTAGGAAACCAAGGCCCACACTGGACTTGAGAGTGGAATAATGCTTCCTCACCTACCCCAAGCCACCCATAATGGAGAAGATGTTAGAGGACCTCAATGAAGTCTACAACCACTCGGCCTCAAGTCCTACTGACACAGTGACAGTCTGCCCCCAGTGAGTGATAAACAAGTCACCCAAACCAAGGAAACATTAACTACTGCACACAAAGCTGATGTTTTGTCTCTTCTTGATGCATTATTTCTTTCTAATCACATTCTTTAAAAACCCTGTTATTCTTATCAAAGAATATTTCATGACTTGATTTGACTTACTTCATTCCCAACTGTTGAAAAAGGTATTCAATACCTTAAAAATCACATCAACTCTTCTTAGCGACACTGACATTATCTCCAATACCTGTTTATGGCTGAGTAGGATTCATTCAGTGTATTACATAAAATAACTTTTTCTGGGGCGCCTGGGTGGCACAGTCGGTTGGGCGTCCGACTTCAGCCAGGTCACGATCTCACGGTCCGTGAGTTCGAGCCCCGCGTCGGGCTCTGGGCTGATGGCTCGGAGCCTGGAGCCTGTTTCCGATTCTGTGTCTCCCTCTCTCTCTGCCCCTCCCCCGTTCATGTTCTGTCTCTCTCTGCCCCAAAAATAAATAAACGTTGAAAAAAAAATTTAAAAAAAAATAACTTTTTCTCAATATTCTCCACTAAGCTTACCTTATAGACCCATTCTTCGCTGCTCTGGGTGAGTTCTGGGATTGATCTTAATTTTTTTTAGTCTTAGACAATGAAAGCACTGTTGTTTTGTCATTCTAAGGCCATATAATAATCACAGAACTACAGGTTAGTCTAGTATAATAATCAAAATTCTTTCATTTTTTTACCAATTTAGAATAAATTGCCTGAGCCTGCCTCATTCCTCCTGTCCTTCTTTTCCACCTGAAGGTCAATTTTTCCACCTTCTCATGGCTTTCAAAAACATTAGCAAATTGGGAATTGATGCAAATTTCTTTAAGGTAATAAAAGGAGTTCCTTTTTCTCAGATCCTATAATCTGAGAAATAGACACCAGTACCAAAATACAGGTGCAAAAGACTGGAGGAAATCACTATGATAGACAAAAGAAAGAGAGCATAAGTAAGCAGAAAAGCCTTCTTAGGGCTCCACAATGGTGGTCTGGCACCTGAGAGAGGACACAGAGAAGGAATCAGGATTACGTAGTTAGATCCTCCAATGGCAGTGCAGCTCTGAGAAATTCTGAGGCAGGCTGATAAGAAGACCCAGAGCAAAGAGTGCTCATTGGAGAAGTCAGGAGGTGGCCAGAAGCAGCCTGGCTCTAGTACGCACTCCAAATTCAGTCACTGGCTGTAATCAGGGACTTTCTGGTGAGAATGTAACCTTCGTGTGAGGTAAGGATATTAGAAAGTGTGGCAAGTGAAGGGTTTCAATTACAATCCTCACTGCAGGTTCTCTTAAAGGTATGTATATGTGGGCAGTGTAGACCTAAGACATCCATACAGGGTAGGAAGTAAAAAGCCCTCAGAAAGAAAAAAAGGCAAATCGAGAGGAATAATTCTAATAAAGGTATAATGAATACTATTTTCAAAAATAATATAGAAAGAAATTAAAGAACACCTAAATTAGTGGCAGGAAAAAATATGTATCATTTGTAAGTCTTGATATTTAAAGAGGTCAATTCTTCCTTAAATTGATCTAGACACAGAATCTGAAGTAAATTCTAGTAGAGTACCTGCTTTTGTTTTATTGGTAAAAATTTTTTCAATGAGATTCTAAAATATTTATAGAAAAGCAAAGGGCCAAGTTATTAGCTGAACATTCTTTCATCCAGGGAAAAACCTTTTTATTCTGTAATTAGGTATTAAAATGAAAATGCATGGATATATTTTTACGTTTCTACTTTGATGTGAGTGAATTTCCATTGGAGTTTACTTATTTTTCAATTAAAGTTCAATCAGTTAATCAAATATATAAATTATTATTTAGCAAATAATTCCCTAATGATTGGGGAGAGAGGGGTTTTACCCAAATGTTGGTGGAACTTGGGGACAGAAGGGTAGACCCCAAACAAGTGGGGAAAGAGCAGACGAGAATGGAGTCAATAGAACCCAGGTGGCCAAAGATAAAAACTGCAAATGTTGCCAGGTCAGCCTCGCTTGGCCCCTTAGAGCCCTTCAAAATGACAAGAACAAAAAACGATTGTGGGCTTAATAATTTCTGTACAGACACAAAGACGGGCAACTTTTTACCATCAAGTGGCTTCTGAGTTTTTACTATATTTTTAAAAGACATCTGGCTTAGGGGCGCCTGGGTGGCGCAGTCGGTTAAGCGTCCGACTTCAGCCAGGTCACGATCTCGCGGTCCGTGAGTTCGAGCCCCGCGTCAGGCTCTGGGCTGATGGCTCAGAGCCTGGAGCCTGTTTCCGATTCTGTGTCTCCCTCTCTCTCTGCCCCTCCCCCGTTCATGCTCTGTCTCTCTCTGTCCCAAAAATAAATAAATGTTGAAAAAAAAATTTAAAAGACATCTGGCTTAGAGGAAATAAATGTTTATTCATAGGGAATGTATTCAAGAATGTTTCACATTTTCCCTCTCTCCTTCTTTCTCTCCATCTTCTCTTTCCCCTTCCCTCATCTCCTCTTTCTACCTCTGACTTCACAAGGTTAGTGTTAAAGAAGTAAAATTCATAAGGAAAATAAAAATGACTACCCTTTAAAAATCAAACAGGTCCAACTTGGTAAGTTTAGTTACATTTTTGCCAAATACCCAAAACCCTTCATGCCTGTGTTTCTAGATAAAATAACTAAATGCAGTTTAACAAAATGTTATGATTTCTTTACTTACTGATACCTTTGTAACTGTTAAAGTGATACAT